GCCCTGTTGGAGTCGAATGTTAAGATATCCATCCATTTACTTTATTCCTTTTTCCAGTGACTTTCTGCTTCACACTCGCCCGTCTGCGTCTTTGCCTTCATATACCTTTGAGCACCACTCGCTCTCTTTTCTTGTCTCTACCTCCCTTGCCAGGCCTCTCTCTCTCTCTCTCTCTCTCTCTCTCTCTCTCTCTCTCCTTCTTCTACTCTGTGTATTGATTTTGCTATAAGCGCTGTCCCGGTTGCGACAGGTTAGCGCACACAGACAAAGGCAGACTTCATCAACCGGCGTTAAACACAGGAGCCACGTCCTCAATAATCACTCCATCACACAAAAGACGACGAGAGAGGGGGAGAGGAGTGAGTGGAAGGGAGCATGTAGGGAGTATTGACGACCAGCGGGGAGAAGAACAGAAGGGGGGAAATGGGCTGCGTTTTCAAGGTTGTCTTTTTTGTTTCCTTTAAATTGTAGGAAACGTTGAAATATGGAAGGTTCATGCAAACACACGTGACCAGAACTGTTCTGTTCCTCTGCCTGTTGCATTTCTTCTTTTCTCCGATGAGCAACGCTTCCTTCATAAATAATTGGCACATGCATAAGTTAGAGGTATGCGTCAGTGCAAAACCACCGCCAATTAGTACCTTATTGAATTTTTCCTTCTACGGGAGGATGTTTTTTTTCTCCATCAACCTCATTATAACAGTGTGTGTATGTGAACCTTGCTGGTGTTTTTCAAATAGTCTGAATATCTGCGTGTGCGTGCATGCACACTTATCTGTGTGTGTACGCAGACGGTTTTCATTTCCACTTAATCTCCAGCTCCTAATTCAGAGTGTACATTGAGCCGCCTAATAGGATGTGACCGGAGCGCCTGCTGCAGCGCTAGCTAGCTAGCCGCTAATGAGAGAGCCGCCGCAGCCGGAGAATCAAAGCGCTTCATCAGCACTCCTAATTACTGTAAACCTCATTAGCTCGCCGGAGAGCAACATCTGCTCTCGCTGGCAGAGCACGTCCAAGTATATAACGCGGGCCCGGCCTGTTGAGTCCGGGTGAGAATCGAAGAGCGCCCCGTGATTTTCATTGTTCTAGTCTGCGTTGCAATTGTAATGGCCGCAGAGGAGGTCCGCTGCGGTTCGGGCTGAGATTAAAAGCAGGGAAGGAGGTACAAGGCCGAGCTGGAAAACCGCACTTTACACTGTATCGCCAATCAATACACAATTTTCCAATTAACTGTGGTTACAGAGGGCTTCTGCGAAGCTGTTCTGTGATGTTCTACAATACACTGACGTCCGGGGGTGTTAATGTTGCCCATCCATGAAGCAGCAGGTGTGTGGACAGCAGGTTTCCATGTAGCTCTGTCTGTTTGCCCCCTCACCCCCTCTCTACCTCTGATCAAAGAACTTCCTTTCAACCAACCCCCCCCTCGTCTCCCCACCCTCCACACACACACACACACACACACACACACACACATACAACCGCAACCTTCAGCTGCTTCTCTCCTCCACCTCCCCTGGCCTCCACCCGCACTCCCCCATCATAATTTGACTGATGATTACACTTGTCACTCAAGGCAGCATGTGGCCAATTAGGAAGAGGGGTGACCGGTGGGGGTTGTGTTGTTGGGGGGCGACAGGAAATTTGGGTTTCAACTTTTCATTCCCACTTAGCTTAACAAATATTTGTTCAATTTTCCTAAAGAGTAAAGAAACGCCCGCGAGCAGCTCTTTCTTCTCCACCTCCCCGACGCCGCGGCCTTGTCTTGCACTCTCTTGGCCACTTCGGTATCTGTCCATGTTCCAGGGTAATCACGGACTCATTTAAAGTCACTTTTGTACACTACCTCTGACTGGTGGTTAAGAGTGCGACCGCAGACTAGGCTTTTATGGCCCTTAATGTGTCCTACAGACACTTTGGCAACCAGGCAGCTGCTGGCGAAGATGCGGGTCGAGGGAGAGGGGAGGGGGGGAGGGAGGGAGGAGAGGACGCATGAGGCCAACAGCCATGGCGACTTAACCAGGCTGAAAAAAGGGGGAACGAAAGAAGATGAAAGAGGAGGGAGGGACAAAGATGCACACGACAAAATGGACAGAACATGGGAGCGTCAAAAGAAACGGGAGAGAGAGGTCACTTAGTCACTCCTCCCGGCGCCCCCCCCCGCCCTGCGCCTCCTCTCTCGTCCCCTTGACAAGCAGACAAAGGGACAGAGGGGTGCAGCCCCTGTACAAGAGATAGCACGGAGTTGAGGCCCCCCCCCCCCCCCCCACAACCTTTCTTTCTGCCCCCTAATATTTATAGACGACCAGGGAATATTGTGGTTAATGGCATGGAGACCCAGGGAGAAAGGGAGTAGATAAAAACATGCTGGAGGTGTATCAAAACCCAAATGTTCATTACTGATGAAAGAACCATCTATTGAGATGGGTCTTTTGAAAGTAGAATTTTTCTCAGAAGTCTGGAGAATTTTCTAAATGCGCGGGCACGGGTTTCCGCGTGCAATGAGAAACGGAGCAGGGGCCACGGCACTTTTAAAAGCCCGAGAAGGTGAGAGAGATTGCACGGGGGAATGAGGGGGAGAAGAGGTGGTGGAGTGCAACAGATTCATTTCAGAACGGAGCGCTAATGGCGAGAGAAGGACACGGCAGGGAGAAAAATGCACACAACAGAAGCGAGGAGGGGGATTAAAACATGCATTCAACGCTCTCGAAGAGCTCCTTTTGGAGAGCCTTCGTTGTGAATGTGCTTGTGAGCGCGTGTGCACTCCGAAGGGAGCGTTTGCCGGGATGTGACCTTGCTTATAGCAGCCAATGTTCGGGGGCCTGCGCCTCAAAACCCGATGGGTAAAGCTCTCTTGTCCACCCTCACTCTGAAGGACAGCAGTAGCACCCCAGAGGTTAATAGGACCCCGTCATTACCATAAATCTTATCAGCTAAATGAAATGGAGAGAAGGCGCTCTGATTTAGTCGTTCGCTCGGCCGGGCTGAGGGGGGGGGACACCCAATCAAACCCCTGGGTTTTATTGGTCTTTTTTATTATCTAAATGTACCGACACATGAGCGGGGTGGCAAAGGTTACAGCCTGTGGCAATCAACAACAAAAAAAGACAGCGCCCGGGACGAAAACACATCGTTGGTGTATTTATGAGAACACGGCCGTCTCGGCCAACAGACTGTCCAAGCTGCGCACGTTTCCCTACAAAGAAACACGTAAAGCTTTGCTCTCTGTGAACCAGAGAAATGTCGGCAGTGTGCCGCTGAGCCTCTGCACTGATGTTTGAATAAATCAGACAATCTTGTCCGTGAAAGCAAGAGTTCAATATGGTCAGCGGGGGGGTGGGCTCGCCGGCTTGTTTTGACTGCCTAGTCAGACGCGGGTGATTGGCGGCATGCGGCGAAGCCCACTCCAACCCTGATCACAGCCAGGCCTCCACTGACCAATCGTCCACACACACACACACACACACCCAACGTACAGCAGGGCGTCTCCCGCGTCTCCCGCGTGGAGGAATTCACCGCATATACGTCACCTATATGCTATTGAAAAAGGCAACTAGAAACACAGAAAGAGGCATAAATCAATACCCATGATGGAGTCGGGTGGTCTGTATGTGTTTACTCCCGCTGATGTGTTGATTAATTGTACACACGCAGGCCCCCCACGCGCACACACACTCCAGCTATCCGTCCGTGTGTGCGTTCTGCAGGTTATAGGTCTGATTAAGTGGCCCGCTCGCCCTGCCTCTGATTAGGACTAATGCCGGGCTGTATTTCACTGGACACAGCAGCCAAGTGCACAAAATGATTCCTCTGAGTGTGTCCGCGTATGTGTGTGTGTGTGTGTGTGTGTGTGTGTGTGTGTGTGTGTGTGTGTGTGTGTTTGAATGACATGATACAGTGTGTGGCCTGCCATGAATGTTCCAAGCGTCTTTGTAGGAGAATGCATATTTTAAAGGATATGGCTAAAGGTCACAGATTGGTAAGTGTGGTTGCGTTAGAGGGTTTATATGTGTGTGTGTGTGTGTGTGTGTGTGTGTGTGTGTGTGTGTGTGTGTGTGTGTGTGTGTGTGTGTGTCCGCGTTCCCCAGGAGAAACTCAATACCACTCACTGCTGCTAATGAGCTTTGGGACCTCATCAGCATTAATACTACATTAGTCTCAACCAACCCTCCCATACACACTGTAAATAAATACAACCTACTGGTGCATATGAAAACCTGTGTGCAGCCATAGCAAAGGTATAGCTAATGGGATTGAAAGGAATTCATAGGCAGTGTTATTGCCAGTCACTTTGTGTGGATTAATCCAAAACCGTGTAACGGGTTTAATTCCCAAATGTATCAATTTAAACATTGTCACTTTAACTAGATGCTCAGAAATAAAAAGGTTTGCCATACTGTCAATAAACAAGCTTTATTCCCTTGGCAGTTGATTTCTTTTAGTAATATCTTATGATTACTTTGAATAATTTTCTTGAAGCAGGATTTCTAATACGGTAAGTCTCATTGCATTAATACATCCGTTAAACATGATTTCATTGCTGCAGCTGCTTTCGGCCCTGTCAAACTGCGTCAGGGACGTCTACGTGGGCCTCAAATAGGTAAATAGGCGAACAGATAGCCCATTAGCTCCTTAAGCATTTTGCCATCGGCCTGCTGCATTTAGCAACCCGCGGCTGGCTGATACACTGCAATCTAATTCTACTACCACAGGGAGACGAGAGGAGGCAGAGAGAATCCTGTTGTGACGGAGAGCAGGAGGAAGTGGGAGGAGAAGAGGAGAGAGAGGGCTACAGAGAAGGAGAGAGGTAACTTAATGCAATAAAGCATGTAGTATTGACATCTTTCTTGTGTCTATTGATTCCCCATTATGTTGCTAACAAACCCAGGTTGACATTTTGTCATTTGCAATCATGTTAACACTGCGACTTGCACGCTCCCCTCCACAAACCGATCCATACCTACACACACTAGTTTGCACGCATGCTTATGTTTGTGCACACACACACACACAAACACATACGCACTCTCTCGCTCTCTCTTTCTCAGACGGACACAGAGCGAATGGGTGTGCGCATGCATCGTCCCACGTCAACCATCGACGACCATGTGCAAGACACACAGAAGCATGTGGCAACGTCTCGGGACAGAAGCCAGCGAGCACAGGCACAGAACTGGAGACGCTGGGAATAACGGATCAAGACTTAACTTTTTATTGGAGTGCACTGTGTGAAATGGAAACGTCAGATTTATCAACGGTCAAGAAAGCTGTGATTCTTGATACAATGTTTAATGTCACTCTGCCTGATATTCAGAGACGGAAATGAAGTGAGTCTAGAATCTGAGGGACAGAGAGTCAGGCGGCATGTAGGAGATGGTGGTTAATAGAGTGTGACAGGAGGTGCATATCTGAGATGAACTGAATCTAGGTGTCGGTGTAAGGAAGAAAAAAAAGCAGTCACCTTGATGCCCCATCATATCATATCAAGCCCATGCTCTGTGTGGGAGACCTGCGGTTTCTCCTCGATGTCCCATTAAACTTTCATACACCAGTTAATGCTGATAGCTTCACAAGACACCTTACTACACGTACACACACATAGTTCACTATAGCAGTGGCCCTGACCTGCACCTTCACCGACACAGCGGCATTAAAAATGGAACAAAATGAGTGCAGCTCGCCATTCAGGTGGAAAGCGTTCTAACATCCTGACTTTATGCTGTCTGATGGTTTGTCTGTTTCATGACCATGTGTCAGTTTGTGTGTGAGCCCCCACAGGGGGCTGTGCATGAATGCTTGAGGCCTGTTGCAACATGAAAGAGAATGAAAACACAGAGGGGGGGGGGGGCAGAGCAGGGGCAGGTGGGGCTAAATCAAACCATCCTGCTGTGACCTCTGACCCCGTACAAGGCCTCAACTCAAGAGGGGTCAAGGAGCTGCTATACCATTCAAAGAAACGAGTTAACTAAGGGCTTGAATCAAAAGCCCTAAAACCAGGATAGTAACATCTTCAGTGGAGGTTTGGAAGCACATGTTAGACCTCAAGGGCACCAAACTAGACAACAAGTCACCGAAGACACTTCTGTGGTGTGTCTTCGGTTTTCTGTGAGTGAAAAACCTCCATTGCTGCTCGCCAATGCACAAGAAAGAACAGTTGTTGCTGAACTGACCCTGCATCCTATTTGGCAACAAACCCCCTTCGTTTGAAAGGACAGCCCCCTTGTACTGTGATATCAGAATGGGATAAAATCAGCATAGCATTGTGAATCACTATCATCCCGCCATCTAAGGAATCCAGCAGAACATGTCCCATCGGTTTATTCCCATGCTGGCCCCCGGCCCGGGACACATGCGGCAGCATAAGGCTCATCTCTCAGCTCTCAAGCTCAATCTGGGTTTTGCTCTCTCTACTCGTTTTTCACCCTGTCATCTACTCTCATACTCTCACTCGCTTCTCCCTTTCCACATTTTCTTTTTTTAAATCTCATTCTGACATTCGCCATTTTTCAACGGGCACAGTGCAAAAACTCCTCCTCCCCAGTTCCCCCGCTTCTTCTCCCCAACTCCCCCTCCTCCCCCCCCTGTGTATATCTCTGGAGATATGGAAGGTTACAGGTCCCCCTGCGCTCTTTTCCTCTTCCCCCCTCCATCATCTCCCTGCATTGTCACATGCTGTGCACTGCTGACTGGGGACGGGGAGTAGAGTTGAAGCCCCGGCATCTCTGGAATCATATGGGCTTGAACTGATGGGGTAGTGGGAGAGGGAGGTGGGGATGTGGGGGGGCAGGTGCCCACAAGCAACACTTACGCACCATTACGCGCGGATCTGCAAGTTAGTGTATATGTATAAAATGCCCCCCCTCTCTCCTCCCTCCTACGGGCCTGCTCTGCAGATCGTCGGTGCGCGATGAAACGCCAGCAGAAGAAGAGAGGCAGTAAAAGGGCCGAGCAGCTGCTGCGTGTCACAACAACAAAAAAACAAAACAAAAAAACAGTCGAAGCTGGTCTGAGTTGAAGCTCCCTCACACAACGACAGTCAGCGACACACACACACACACACACACACACACACATACACACACTGATGCTCCCACCATGCGTCCTTTTATTCCGCTTCAGCGCAGATGAAACGCAGACGTCGCCCCAATAACCCCCCCCCCCCCGCCTCCTCCTCCACCGCCCGGACTCCACGCTCCATCCGCGACAGGACAGCGAGGTGTGGTGCACTAAACGAGCCTATTTCCACCGCGTGTTTACGTGGGTCTCGTCCGCGATCCACCGAGAAACACTTGAGCGCAAACAGAGATGTTCGGCGCGCTGAGAGCGAAGTCGCGGATAAACGTTACGAGTAAAACACGAGGTCACAAACGGTAGTGAAATAAAAAAAGAAAACGGATGAATAGGTGTGTGCTTCGCGTCTCTTTTCTCGCACGTCCGTTCTCCTCCGTGCAGTTCCACTCGCCTTTCTGTCTCCCCCCTCTCCTCGCTTCCACCGGCCCAGGAATCGATCTCCGCAGGATCGATAAGTTGCCATGAATATTCCCTGCCTGCCGAGAGTCTAGTTGGGGAGAGACGGAGGTTTGGGCTCAGGCGCAGGCAGAGGAGGAGAGGCAAAGGATGGGGGGGGACGGAGACACGAGGGAAATATACTACATCGGAGAAAAGGCGCGTACAGTCGGCGTGGAAACGGAGCGACGCTCGTTCCACGGAATGGACTGAAAGGGGGGAAAAAACGGGACATTTTACGCAATTCATTTTGCCGCCCGGACACTCCAGCGCGCTCGGGGACGCTTCCTCGTTTCGTAAAAGGACTCCGTTTAAGCCTCCGAACCGGGAACCGGAGGATTTCGTGCGCCGGTGTAAGTGTGTGTGTGTGTGTGTGTGTGTGTGTGTGTGTGTGTGTGTGTGTGTGTGTGTGCGCGCGCGCGCCGGCAGGTCTCCCTCCGCTGCCAAGTGCATCGGCACCGAACAAGGCGGGGCAGGTCTCCGTGGCCGCGTCTGACCGACATGGAGGGATGGAGGAGGGCAGGTAGAAGAGTAAAAAAAAAAATGCAAAAAAAGAAAAATGTCTTACCGGAGTTGGAGCGCAGAGCCAGAGGGGACTTGAGACGCCAGGCGCTGAGGTCAGGGGCAGTTCTCTGAAACACGAACGGCACCGGCAAGGGAACAAACATTGTCTTCCTCCGGCTTCAGGTTTTGATGGCAAATATATGTTTTTTTTTTGTACAGAAGTGCTGTAATAAGCTCTGTCTTGTTCTGGCAGCTTCCGCGTCTTCGTCCGTCTCTCTGGCAGACAGCTTCGGGGAAATATTTGGTACGGAGAGCTCGCAGCCGCTGGGTGTGTGCGCGCATGTAAGCCCAGCTGCGCCTTTTTATTTACGTTTGTGGATGTCGACTGGTGGCCGGCATTAGTTTTGGTGTAGATGTGCATAGAACATACATGTGGGAAGGTCCCCTCGAGTGCAGCAGTTGTCCCACAGTCCAGACGAACACACAGACGGACGGAGGGGGAGAAGATCCGAGCTCACTTCGCACCGGCTGCGGGGAAAGTTGTGATACAACGACGGGCCCTATTGTCGTGGGTTTATAATAAAAGGCTGAGTGTCTCCCTGTCGCCCTTTCCGTCGTTTGTTGCACAGCTAAAGCTTTTCTCTTGGAGTAAACACAGAGGCCCGGGGGCTTATTTCATCCTACTCACTCCTCGCCACTAATGTTTCCTGTAGGTGTGAAAGAGGCATGAGAACAGTCGCTGTAGCCTCCTCCTGTAGCATCCCCGACCGGGCTTCTGTAGCTTTGGTATTCGCTTTATAAAAGAGCACGATAAATGATGACAGTGTGTAAAAAAAAAAAAAGAGTTAGAAAGTCTTATTTGGATTTCTGTATTTGGTTTGATCTGTTTGTATTTGGTCTCTAGCTCCTCTCTCCTCCGCGTTGAAGGCTACATTCGTCCGCTCGGGCACGGCAGCGCAGCGCGTTTAAAACGGCCTCATTTAGAGGCTTTCGCCGACAGATAAATAAACACGCGGGGCAAAGGCTGCACGGGCACGAACGCACGCGCACGCACGCACGCACGCACGCACACACACACGCACGCACGCACGCACGCAGACTCAAACACACAACGCGCGCTCGGCTCTGACGCTCCTCCTCCCTCGCTCGCTCGCTCGCTCGCTGTCACGGGGCAGTAATTAAAACGCAATCAATCGATAGAGAAATAAATAAATAAATAAAAGCAACACAGCGCGTAAATAAATAATTCAAACAGAATAAAAGCACAAAACAACGGCAATAAGACAGCGTATAGATTCCAGTTACGGTGTCGCGTTTTCTCGGAACACTTGCCTATCTCCGTCCATCCGCCTGTGTGTCTGTTTTGTCTGTCTGTTTGTCCCCCGTTATTATGTATGGGAACCCCAATAGCTCATTCGACCCGGCTCCCTCCAGGATTGTAGCGATCTGCCACTAGGCTGGCCGCAACATAGAGGCGAGAGAGGACCCGCTACTACTCACACATCAGCACCCCACCCCCGCGCCTTCCTCCCTCCTCTCCCCTCCTCCCTCCTCCATCCATCCCACCCACCCACCCACCCACCCCCATCTCCCTCGTTTTCACTACCGCTGCAAAAGGTATCCTGTATTGATTTCTGGATTTTTTTTCTCCCCCCCTCCTCTTAATAATGCCGGCTGTAATGATGCCAGTGGTGATCAGTGCGTTACTAGCGGGCTGCTTGGGAAGGGATAAGGACCAGATAAGAGAATCCGTGGATACCTATAGGCGCTTAACGCTAATCCCCCTACCAGGATGCCCAGCATGCACACAATTAAGTTATCTCATCACTGCTGCTTTTAATAAGCCCTCCTCTGCGGACGATGTATTATTAGGTCATTCAGATAGGAAGGTGAGATTGACCCGACTCCACGAGCATGGAAAATGTCTCATTTGAAAGCTGAAAATACACATTAAGGATTTTTTTTTTCTCCAGCGTAAACTAAGTGAGATAAAATGCATGTTATGCATGGACTATTGTCATACAAACGCTAACACTTCATGAATAAGAAATACATCAGAGAGCGTTTCAGAGGACGAGTGCCCCATGATTGAGATGATCACCCCCCCCCCCCCCCCCCCCTTCCCCCTCCTTGCTCCCGGATCCTGTTTCATCCGTCCCGGACACGCATGCCGGCCTCCCCAGCATGCCTCCCCTCGCCTCCTGCCCTCTCCCTCCCCGGCACCGACATGTTACACTTGTCAATTACAGGCCAGCACCAGTCAACGCTGCGCGCTTACACACCAGATTATTGTCGATATAGATTTTTAAATAGAAAAATCTATACTTTAAACATCACAGTCAATACGGGCAAATCAATAGAAATGAGCGAGCTCTTGCTCCTGAGAGCTGCATCCCACAGGCGTGTTTGTACCTGCTCACTTAACGCTGCGGGCGATTAGGCCTCCGTTAATGGAAATTGCACATCATATAAATAATTTTCGTGGTCTCCGGCATCGACAGACAGCCACATTGTCAAGAAATAAGTGCTGCACACAAAACTGGCATCTTCTTAATTATGAAAAATGTGTCATCCTCTGTCGTAGACGACCAGATTTTATTGTCCTTCTCCCTCCGCTTCACGTATGACAGATGACATCCGCAGGTCCAATGACGGAGAGGAGGGGGAACGGAGCGAGAGGAGGACACAGAGGAGAGGAAGAGGGGAGCCAAAGAAGGGAGATGGAGGGAGAGCGGTGGGGAGTAAGGACGGGGGGAAGGAGAGGAGGGAAACTGATAGAAAGGAGCAAGGCGAGGAAAATAGGAAAGAATGAGAAGAAGGGAGCTGAGGAGAGAGGAGAAATAAGGAGGGAATGGAGAAGTGACTAGTTGTCCTTCAAAGACCCCCTTCTCTCCACAGAGGGAGCCATGCGCGCCCCCTTTCCCTCCTCCCTACACTCCTTCCAGACAAAAGCAATTATTTCTTGTAGAATGTAGTGTGGTTGTGCGCGTCTGTGGAAGAGAGGGATGGAGGGAGGGTGTGTGAGATTGGAAGAGGGGAAAATAAGATGGTGTTGGAGGGGAAGAGGAGGATGGGGAGGTGAGGAGGAGGAAGAGGAGGGATGCTAACACCTACACCATCCACCCCTTCGTCCTCCACGCACTATTCAGAACAAACTCTTCTCTTTCTTCCTCTCTGACACGGCCGCAAAGACAACGTAACCGAAGACCATCAACTAGGTCATCACACGTGTAAAAAGACACCGTGAAGCACCTGCGCGTGAATTTCAGATGAACCAGCCGACTAGACCTGCAGTAGGAAGATCTAAAAACTTTTAACGGAGAAACAAAACTCTCTTTTTATTTCTCTGACCGGCCTTTTTTTCTCTCCCCAAAGAATATATTCAAACACATCAAACAGAAATACGCGGAGCTCTATCTTGTTTATCTTTAATTCTGTCCATCCGTCTGTCACCTAAATTCAGCTGACGGCGTGCGTTTCATGCTTGGCGCCTATAGGAACCCTGCAGCGATGTGGTCCCTACAGTCTCCCTCCCCGGGGGCCCAGAGAGACCCGTGGGCCTAAAGAGGGAGAGGTAGAGAGAGGGAGACATCTCCCCTGGGGTGGGGGGCCAATAACCCCTGCTGGACCGCTCTCACCGGGGGGCCCACAGGGTGCTGATTGCCCAGCTCCCTCCCCATCAAGCCTCCCAATCCATACAGAGAGATACATATTGCTGGTTGCATTGTTTTCTACGCTGTATCTTCCCCCTGCTGTATTGAAAAAATGCTCTCCCAAAATTCTCTCTCTCTCTCTTTAGCTGTATTTTTTCCACGTAAAAGAAATACTGTAATGGATGTAATATTGGATGTTGGCAGTTAAGTGCATTGACTATAGATGATTATAGAATATGTATCGTGTATATTTAATATATCTTCCAGCAATAATTATCATACTGTTTTTCTATCAATTACCAAATTAACAGTTCTACTTAGAATCGAGAGCAGTGCTTTATATTTTGTATATGTTTTACTTTTGGAATTTACTTTGTTTACTAAAAATGATTTGCATTTAAAGAAAATTCACATTATCTCTTGCAAAAAATATCAACTACTAAGAGTTTGCTCATATTGTCATTTTCTATGTATATTACATTTAATGTACAGATTATTGCAAATTTTCCACGCAGTCTATATTATATGGAATGTTATTGAACAAAAAAGTTAAAATGTTGCCGCCTTTTTTAGCTTTGCTTTGTATTGTTAGCAAAGAACAATTACAAAAAAGTGTTTTAGTCTTCATATTTTATTTATACTGACAACTGTTATTGTTTGATTATCAGATGCAATTTTAATGAAATGCATTCATTTCAATGTTGATGTTTTTTTCCTGCATTTGAAAATGATGATTTGGTTGAATTGTTTTCTCCTATAATTGTTGCAAACAAATTTATTCATAGAAAGCAATTTGTTCAATTCCTCACCACAACATGTTTTCCATGTCATGTGCTGTAGGTCAGAATGTGGCATGAAATATTTATCCAATCAGAAAGACCCAGAAGTATCCTGAGGCTATACATTAGTCATAGCATGGACCATGCATTAGCCATATAGTTTATTGCATTCTTGGTAATTACCTGTAATTCATTTTGAATGATTTATTTGAATGGTTAAAAAAACAGCGTTTGAATATTGAACAAATGTTTTTTATTGTAAATGATGCAAATGAAGCAGCAAGTTCTAACTGAGCAATGATTTGTTTGCCTCCATAAAACAGCGCAAATCTGTCAGACCGCATGTGTGTATGTGTCTGAAAATGTGTGTGTGTGTGACCCAGCTCATCCGCGGGTGTTCGCGTCCATGTCATGGCCGTTAGTTAAATGGTGATGTCATGTTGACAAACGAGCTGGTTGAATTAAATCCTCACTCATCAATAACGCCGTCGGTCGGGAATCAATAGCGGCCAACAGTTGCGTTACTGGCTCTGTCAGCGGCCTAACAAGGCCCCATTAGAATGGACAACGCTCTCTCACTGTCGCCCCGTCCCGCCTCAACCCAGCTGCACCGAGCGCCAACGCACTCTTCTAATATCCTCTCTGCACTCACGCACACGCGCAAACACACCAATAACACAGCAAAACGCAATATTCACATAAAGCCGTGCTCTGACATGATGTATAGATTTGTCAAGATAATATGGATATGATGCATGGCCTTTTATGATGTTTGTTTGTGGGTGTCTGCGTGTGTGTGTGTGTGTGTGTGTGTGTGAAAGAGAGAGAGAGTATGAGTGTGGTATTGTTTGTGCATCGTGGTCAGTGGCAAATTCAAGGTTGTGCAGGCTTTGGATCCCAATCACAGTGTTCAAATCCAACCAGGATTCAATCAATCCAAAAAAAGGCACGTGCAAAATAAGGAAAAGTGTGATGTATGTGTGTGTGTGTGTGTGTGTGTGTGTGTGTGTGTGTGTGTGTGTGTGTGTGTGTGTGTGTGTGGAGATGTCAACGCCAATTTGCAGTCACATGACAAATAGTCCCACATGCAGACACCAAGTGATAACACTTAAATTCAGATACACGCTCACATACACAGATACACGTGTTGAGACAGACATTGCAAGTAAACAGACGGACGCACACAAACGGTGACTACACACCCCATCTCTGTTCTTTCACTCCCTTTCCCCGACCACCTTCTCTTTCCTTTTCTCTACGAGCAGCTGATCCAGCTTAAAGCCCTTGTTATTCCTGTATTCCTTGTTTTTTTTATTAGTTTTTATTAACTTTGCGCGCCGTTTCTCTGTCAGCACTCTCAATAATCGATGCTGATATATTGCCAATATCCAGCTCAGTCCCCTTGCTGCCATCTTTCACAGGGGCTCCGTTATTTGGGTGAGATTGGCCCAAATATAATGATATTTATTATAGATATTTATTATCTGGGTTTGTCGCGGTGCTGCGGACGCACCCTGCTGAAGACTTACACGCCGGCAAACTCCCCGCGCAGCCACATGAACCACACAAACAGACACACAATCTCTCTGTGGAGCTCTTTAATTTAAACTGGTAATATCAGGCGATTATTCCCCATACAGATAGTGGGTTATCAGCAGTGTTAGCACACAGTATTCACTCCGTATTATAGAATCCACTGCACCTTAGTGTGTGTGTGTGTGTGTGAGTATAGAGCCGATGGTTCACCTACCGGCACTGAACAGTGTTTAGAAGCAAAGGGAGGCTTGATGGGAGGGGTCAAGATTCAAACAGTGCTTGGTCAGGGGAGGGGATGCAGGAGAGGGAAGGGGAGAGGGGACCGGACAATCTGGCCTCTCGCTCTCCACGGCCCTCCTCCCCCTTCCTTCCCCACACACACACACACACACACTCTAACACCTCCCCCTCCTCCCCCCGCTCCTCAACACCTCCTCCTGCAGGGCTGATCTATACCCCCTCCATCTCCCTCCATCCCCCCAGTAGCCAGGGCCCCAGACGGTAATCCACCCCAGTGCTCCTCATCCTTTCATGTATTGATTTCCTCTCCTGCGCCACGGTTACATGTCGCACCCACGTCATTGGGTCCCGGCTGCTACCACCGCCTCCCCTCTCCGCTTCACCCGTCCGTCCCCCGCCCCCCCCACACCCACCATACCCCACCCCCCCCACACACACCACACAATCTTCAACAACAACAACAACTAAAAGAAGAGGTGGGGGGCGGTGGGGGTGTAGACCCAACCCATCCAAGGGAGAGAAACACAGAGAAGGGAGGAAAAAGAGTAGGAGGGGGACTAAAGGGAGGAAAAAGAGGGCAGATAAAGCACTGCAGTATTTCAGCAAAGCAACGAGCATTTTACAGGGATAGAAACAAACAGGAGAAGATGGAGAGAGAAATAACAGGGGGGAAAAAATGCCCCCAGGGGTTGCAGAGGATATTGTGGAAATTATCAGAGTGCAACACACGCTGGAAGTCCATGGCGAGAGATTTATTTCGAATTTGTCTTTGACAGTGAAATTCATCACTGAGTAGGCCTATCTGCTCTAGTTCTACACACATGTTCTGATCAATACGGGGAGACATGGTTCCATTTTGTAAGAAAATTGGCAATAACTTAATCTTGTTTAAAATAATTTTAGAATAAAAAGAAATAGTTTCTACTTCTCACACGTGAATCTATCTTGCTGTCCTCGCTTTTAAATCATCAATTTTGGGATTTTTTAAAATTCAGAGTTTTGGATTTAAACAAGATGTTTGAAAGCGCAATTTCATGTCATTCAATTTTATTTTTACATTTCACAGATTAAACCAATCTTTAACAAATGATAAAATCAGGCATGTCTTCATCTCAATTCATAGGATTCAAGATGACACCTGCTCGATCTGAGTAAAACAATTTAGCGCTTGAGCCATGACCTTTTTTTAAAACCTCACACTTCATGACAAAACTCTTAACATGAACATACATATGAATTTGTGTTTGCTGAAAAGTGTATTGTGAAGTCTGTGACACCTCGGGGTGAACGGACGAAGTGCGTTTGAGGCAGCGGAATGTGAGTACGACAGGTCAAGGTTATATTTTGAGTGCGTACGGAATTTGTGTGTCTGTCTCTGTGAGTGTGAGAGGTGTTTGTGAGACATTGTATGGGTCTGATTGAATTGCAGTCATACTGCTGAGGGTGTGTGTGTGTGTCTCCTGATCACATGTTAATACCTGCATGAGCTCAGAGAGACATGGCCATTTGTGTATGTGTGTGTTTGTGTTTGTGCAGGTTCCCACTCATCCAAGAAAGCCGTCAGAAAGAGTGACCATCGGGCAGTTGGGGCCTTATTGTCCGCGTGTGTGACTGTGTGTCTGTGTGTGTTCGTACATATTCTTGACTTATCTCTGTGTGTGTGTGTGTGTGTGTGTGTGTGTGTGTGTGTGTGTGTGTGTGTGTAAGCAGCGCGTGCGGTAAGGCCATCCCTATCAGCAGAGCAAACACAGGCCCCATCGCTGCAAAGCAAACAGCAGCTCGGCCCAGTGTATGCATCTTAAACACTTTATCTCTCATTGTCCAGCCAACACACACTCTGCTATGGAATAATATGTTATTTTACATTTTCTGCAATCTGCCGCCAGACAATGGTAACACTGAGAACTTAGGCAAAACAATCTCCCCCGTCCTTGCTGTCATTGCCAGCTTCACCATCTCCATGATAATGCAGCCATTAAAGAGCACTCTTTAAAACATCACACATTTAACGTCCCTGCAGCAGCAATACATCATCCCTGACAACAGTAGTGATGTTGAAGTTCTCTTTGTTGCTGACAAAAGTTGATTTTCCTTGCCATTTGAAAGCACTTATCTTAAGTGGATCTACACAGAGTAAATCGTAATTGCAACACAGTAATGCTGCATATGGTCTATATATATATATATATATATATATATATATATACACACTGTATTGTGCGAGGCACTCAACCACACATCGAGACAGAAAAGCACCAGATGACTTGAAAAAGGTTAAGACAATTTGGTCAAGTACAGCGGCTTTAAAAAAAAAAAAATGCTATCAACTAAATGTCTGAATTTGAGGCTCAACACTTAAGCCAAGAAAAGGTCAAACGCGCACACAGACGTGCGTGCACACACAGAATAAATAGATGTAAACACATATATGTTCTTGTGCACACACACAAAAGGAGACATACGTTTAGCTCACATACACACTCATGCACGCACATTCAAGCGTGCATGGCCACGCGCACGCACACGGAGACTCGGATACAGCCAATTAGGTCCACCACCTTCAGAGAAACACCAGTGGGCATGTAAGATTCGGAGTCCAGCGGGCCTCTAAAGCCTAACACAGTCGTAAGCCAGAAATAACACACACGCACGTCTCCAGTAGGCTCTGCAGACCATGTGAAATAGCAAAGCAGAGACAAAACACTCCATTCCATCTCTGACATTTCCAATATGTGTCCATCCCTCCTGAACCTCTGTTCACCCATAAAGTGACTCATTCTTCACATGTGAACATCTTTCTGCCCGGGAAGTCAGCAACTCGCTGCCCGTCCTTCCCGATGCCTGTTATCATCGCAAAACTATGTGTTAAGGCTTGAACCTTAATAACATACCGCAGCTTTAATGCGATGAAATAGAAATAGTTCATCTATTTACTGTTTAAATCTATCCATGGTTTGCTCTTTTAAGTCCTCTCTGCATGCATCTACACTGTGTGGTGAAGCTTTTTCTGCCGACTTCCCCTCACAGCTCATAACTCTGCTTTCCCTCATCGCCTCCCGCTCCTCTTCTCCTCTCACTCTGTTAATTCTCACTATCGCCAGTCAGTGTATTTACCTAACGCCAACGTCTTTCCTTCCCCCGGAGCTCTCCTATCAGTCCTTTCCTCCGTCTCTGCCACTGCGCACGGTGAGACTGTGTGAGTGAGTGTGCAGGAGATTTAGAGCGGGGGATCAATGAGAAATTTAAAAATCAATGCACTTAGCGCCGGGAAATCAATGGGCCTAATCGGGATGCCAATCGGCCCAGTCAAAACAATTAAGAGGGAAGAAAAATGTTTAACAACCTCCTCTCTCTCTCTCTCTCTCTCTCTCTCTTGCTTACATGGACGCAGGGGAGAGAGTGACGGAGGCCTAAAGAGGAATATCAGAGGCAGACAGAGAGGGATGAGATGGAGTGATATATGGGAAGGAAAGGCTCAGGAGAAAAAGCTCAAAGCTTAGAGCCGAGGAAAGCAGGAATGGAGGGAGGGGCGGAGGAAGCCAGGGACAGGAACAAAGATG